ATATATATACATATATACCACCCGCTTGAATACAAGCATGGTGCCAACGCAACAACAAAATTACCAATAACAATAAAACGGGGTAGGTGGATTGGGGTACAGAACATAGTGAATAGGGGGTGAAATAGTATTCTACGTAGAAACTGTTCGTTCACCTTCAACCTAACAAGGGTAACTGGGCTATGCACACCTACATTCATCTAATGATGATTGACTAAGAATGAGTTTCAGAAAAGACATTATTCGGGAACGAATTTCCATACCTTATGAGATATATATCCTCATTAAACAATAGGACTAACAAACGTACATAAAGGTGCTGTCTGTTCTGTGAACTTCTGAAGGTGCTTGTTGAAGAACTGCCGGTTCAAATCCGTTCTTCATAACAGCCAGTTCTAAGTAACACGTGCGTTCCACTGGTCCGGAATTGGTTGAGTTAACGAGCGATTCACAATCTTGACAGAAGTAGAAAACCATTCGGTCCACATTGGGCAGATGGTATGAGAGCCACTCAAATCCGGCTCGGACCGTATGGGCGAATGAACGATGTGCACGGACCAAACTGTAAGCACGACCTAGACGATTCACCACACCCTTTGGACATAAGAGTGATAGAAAGATGGGGATAGGCATGTTCAGCTCGAACGAGAACGGTGGGCCTGATTGAGCAAGATTCGCGCCAGCAAGCAAACAAACGCTGGGGACAAGTTCACCGTTTTGCATTTTTTTTAGCTTGAGTTCAAAATATTTGTTACTCCGACCGGTGAAAAATTCAAGCAAACAACACGATGAGGGTATCAATTCGGATCAAATGAATTTGAGTGATAACTAAATTGAAATTTAAATGCCTTGCTTCTTTCGCCTGTCTTTGAATAAATCACAGAAAATTCCCTCAAGGAATACTTTGGGTGTGATTTTAGGAAAACGAGAAAACTAAATATGTGAAAAATTGAAACCGTAAGCAGAAGAAGCCGAATTCAGTTTTATGACCACGTATATCATAAAATCACTACGTATAGCGTAGACCGGTGTAACGTTAGATGGGCCAGCGACCCCAGTAATATATACCTCACACGAGATTTCCGCGGACCTTTTGCTTCCAAATCCTATGATAAAACTCATGGCACGAAACTTCAGGTAGTACCGGAAGTTCAGTATAGTTCATGCAACGTTATCAACAGCGACACTGGCGCATCTAACTCCCTTTGGCTCAGATCTGATTAACTTGATTTGGGGATTTATATTTCAGCGGTGTTGTCAGCTTATCACTGTACTGTATCCTTCTTTCCCATTGGCCGAGCAAATCAGTTACCGAAATGCCTTAATCAAACACATCGCTCGATGAGGTAAGATTGATGGTTGTTCAGATTACAACTGAAATGTAACTGCTGAATTATTAGTGAGTTTCTTGGAAAAGCTTTGCATTCTCAAATCCTTCAAATGGCTTCATCGGGAACCAGGTGCTTTATTTATGTAGAGTAGTAATAACTTCCTTTAAACGCGAAAGAAACCTTTATGATGATGACCGACAAACAGCACTGGACATCTGTTTCGTCCTGTTTGGGAATCGTCAGCAGTACATACTTCTTTGTTGGTGTTCACAAAGATTTCCTTCACGTTTAAGTGGATTTCACTGATGGGTAATTACCGATCTGGCCAGTAGTGAAACCCACATCCAAGGTCACTACCAGTGCCTGATGCCTGTGAAAAAACAAATGGGTCAATCCAAACATTCATCGTCTAATCTTTTTTTCCCCTCACGGCTGTCGAACAAATGCCAACTCAGAACGAACAGCTTAGTTGTAGTTCTAATTTTTCAACCCACTGTGAGACATCTAGAAATCATCTCAAAGAGCTCGGAGTGAATACTACTTACTTTATCTTTGTAGCAGTCGGTCGCCTTAGGGAAAAGTGCATGTAAAGGACCTCATTAGAGTATTTCAGAAGGCTCAGGACTGCAGTTTATTTAATTTTAAAGACTCTGTAATTCGATTGATATGATAGGTCAATATAAACTAATATGCAAGTCTTCGGCTAGTATCATGTTTAATGCTCTTGATCGGCGCTATGAAATGGAGACCGGGACAGGTGTTTTTATGTATGTATGCTTGTTATCGATCAGTTTGTTTTGTTAATTGATGATAGACAAGATCAGAAATTGAACCATTTTTATCACGATTATTTGCATTACCGGAAACATGAATTGAAATAACGCGGTGTGATTGACAGTTTTGAAAGGTAGACGGCTATCGTAACTAGTAGAAGCCAATGAATGAATGACTTGCTAAACAAGCTGGAGAACCAGGCTCGATTGTGCAGGTATGAGAACGGTACTTCTGTTTCAAGGATTCATTTAAACATCCACCAGAATGATAGCCATTTCGGAGACAGCTTATTTCGACCTACTACTTCTAGGCTCTTGGTGCGGTCAACAAAAATGATAAAAACAGCAGGGCTAGTTTGAGGTTGCTGGTGAAATTCGAGCTGGTCTATCTGCGTCACAGTTGTGGTATTTATTTGGTGTACAAACTGTGAATAGGGTTGATCCAATCCGAGTCTGTGTACTGTTTACTGTGCACGAGCGTAGCGCGAAAACATGATACGACACAAACAAACAAGGTCAGCAGCCTCGTCGATCAATCAGAGCTTCGGACGCAGGTTCATATGTCCATATTCGATCGAGTTTGTCACGCTACTTTATGAAATCATTGTCCGCAATCACGAATCCACACACGCGCACACACATACGCAACTAAGTTGGCATATGCGCATGAGGTAGTGTGAGAGAGAAAATATTCGACACTGTCAGTATCGCAATGACGAAAGGACCAATAGATTTGGGCACAGTCCATGAAATTCACGTAATCAGTTCACAGGCTCAGTCGTGCCATATGAGAACGCGGAACGTGTGACAGCATGGGACGATACAATTACTTTTTGCGTAAGTGATTTCTATTATCTTAAGACCGTACATACTTTTTCGGTTGCTTCCGAAGGCAAAGCTATCAGTTGTTTGAAAAGGTAAAATGAAAAACTAATCAATTTTCCAAAAATTGACACTTCTATCGTCAGAAACGTTGGCAGCACAGTGTTTGCACACGTTACACCTATATTCTGTTAGTGACTACATTGCTACTTAAACAACAGTAGAACTATCTAAAAGCTTACTGATCTCTGGATAGTTATTATAAATCAAGCGAGAGATGAATTTGGTAACTAGTAGATTGAATAAAAGTTTTGTCCGTTAAAATGGAAAAATAATAATAGTTGACCAACAACATGAATTGAAAAGAAATGTCTCTACTTTACGTATTCAGGAGGTGAGTAGAACTTTTTAGCTGGACTGATCAAGCCGATAATGTACGGTTTCCAATGATGAATTTTTCATGCTTGTTGAGAGAGTTCAACTAACTTGTGTTCATAGCTATCGGTTCCCATCAACTCTGGAGCTTTTTTTAATCGTATATGGTAAATATGCCTTCAGTTTTCAGATGAAGGCATTCGTTCCATTTTCAAATCAACAGTCGAATTAGGAATGTGTCCGTCCAAAGATTACTATTTAGGTGACCTCAAAGACCGATCGTGTTAAGTGTGATTTTTAGACAAAATCGATCACCTGACCAGCGATCAATCACTCCGGACGTTTTATTGTGGTACGGGAGGTCCTAGAAGCACTGTGCAGTTGGTTCAATACATCTGTAATACTGATATATACCCAACGAAGTTCCAACTGCATCAGAGATTTCAGTTTAGGTTGCATTTTAATGTTTCAGTTGATTTTTTTTCATAGCCCCATAATCCAGTGTTTTGGGACGACCGACTGCAGGGTACGTAAAAGTTTTACGTAGAACACGTGTAACGTTTGCTACCTGTCTTTCATGCTAATCCCTCATTTCATCGCCTATTGACTTCTTCGTGATTTTGCAGGATCGAACGCACAGTGGATGTCTAAAACGAAGTTGTAATCATATGTTAGGGACTGGTCTATCCTCTCATCATCCATACCCAACAACAAAACCTGACAGTTCTGTGATGAAGTACTTGAAGACTTGCACCTAACGTGATTATATCACAGATGTGAAATTTAAAGGCCATTGTTCAGTTCAGTTTAGTTCACACCGGGTTTACTCTTTTCTGCAGTGGTTTTGCTTGCCGTATTTTGATCAGTCATTTGAAGGAAAGGGTGGAGAGCAAAGAAGTAGAGAGCTGCAAACAATAGCAGCTTACAGATGCAGAATCATCAGTCTTCAGGATTGCGGGCAGAGGGCAGGGTGCCCGTGTAAGCCCCATCACCACTGGGTCGAAGGTTCGATCACAAGTGTTCGTTCCTCCATAGCCCCTTCAGGTGCTCATCCAGATGCCGTTTGAAAACAGTGCCTGTCTTCTCTTCCACGACAATCGCTGGAAGGGAATTCCAGAGTGTTGTTGAGCTACGCGAGAGTCGGTAGACTAACGGAAGACCAACTGAATGAAGTTTCCGCAACGTGAGAAAGTGCCCCCGCGTGCGGTGCTCTGTCCGTAAAGGGAAGTACTGTTGCAGCTCCGGGCCCATAACACCTCTCAGGATCTTCATCAGGCAGATGAGATCTCCCCTGAGGCGTCGATACGCAATTGGGAGCAGACCAGTAGCTTGTAAACGACCTTCATAGCTGGTCCCGCGTAGCCCAACAAACTGAATTCGCGGGGGAATTGAGTGCTGCTGTCTAAGACACTCAATCGTATCACTCAGTGTATTTCTCCAGCCATTAGAGTTCATGACCAAGAAACCTAACGTGACCAACGTGATCGGGTTCTCCAATCAGGATTTTCGCATCCTGGCGTCACTTCATACTCTTACCACTTAATTTCCTTTCAACTTATGCCCGCCTCGATAAACATCGCACACAGGAGGAGGCTATCTGTTTACAAGCAAAATACACGTTCCAGTCTTCTTAATCTATTCAGATCAAGCAATTTCTCTTGTGTGCGACTGTGATTGTCTAATACTGTCCGAATAACTCCTTCCTTGCTTATTCGGTCCCCCACCGGACTAGTAGCGGCGTAGACAGTACTGTTCGAGCGCACACAGTCTAACTTTATCCTGTTGCCGTAACCATCACGTTTCTGCACCATACAGCAGTACTGGTGGAGCTGCTCCCACCTTCATAGACAGTCGAATGTCACACCTGTACCGGGGATTTCTCAAGTTGGCAAACAACAGTTGAACGTTCTGTTTGCATGATCACGTAGTTTCTTATTTATCGGTTGAATAAAATAACAGAACAACTTGAGACTAATAAGGTCACTTGCTAATCGGTTGGTGGTTGCCCAAAGGAAAGCTTCTCTACATAGATCAATCGATTAAACAGCCAATACATCATGCAATCGTAATTGCATACTTTGGAAACAGTACCACTACGTGTTTTTGCAAGCCAAAATATGCCATGTTTTAATATTTAAAATGATACATAAAATTTGCTCTGTATCGTTTTACATCCCTAGTACCATTGTTCCTACTGACGCATATCGAATCCAGTCATCTACAAGCGATTGCTCTCGACGAAGATAAGCCTGCAGAAACCAAGGATGCACAAAAGTCTGAAGCACTATGTCTGGATTTCCTTGGCATCCTGATTGATCACATGGTTCGACGAATCACTGTGCACATGGACGAACCAAAAGTGTTGGAACCGATCAGCAATTCGTTCTTCACTCTGACTGACGGACGATTGTACGGGCTGAAAAATATTGTGCGTACTTGTCCGATTGAGTTGGCACACGAGGAGATGTGGCTTCAGTCTGCAAAACCGACACCGAATCAGGATGTCCATCTGACCGAGTGGATACAAAAACGTGACACCAAATTGGGCGATGTCCTTCGGCTTAGCTTTTGTCTCGGTATACCACACAATTTACAACTGCGTGGATCGATGGCCGTGACTACATTTTGGTCCACCTACGACCCGGAAGGTGTACGGATCACCTTATCGGATATATCGATCCGGGCCACTTTGCAATTGCAACTGAATATGACTGGTAAAATGCGATTGAGTATTGCCGGTATGCGAGTGGAGAAATTCGGTTCGATTCGGTTCGAACCCGAAGCGACCGGATCAGGAAGTGGGGATGAAGAGGAGCGGACAAATAACGGATTCATGTCACAATACGCATCTTTGGCCGACTGGTTAGCCAATGGACCATTATACACACCGTTGGTGATTATTTTGGAAACCATTATGAATGATAGTTTTTCTGCGTTGCTAAAAGAGAAACAACCGGATTTGTGATTCAGCGTAAGTGGATAATAAAATGGGTGTAACCGAGGGGATAATTTTAGTAAACATTCATCCTTTCAATAATACTATCACTTTGATCATTCTGTAGTCTAAATTTGAATTATTTCTCACTCCAATGTGAAACGACAGTTAGGGGACTAGTAAGAACGTAACAAGACAGATAAGTACCGTTCTAATGGATTTTGAGTAATCCGAGAAAAATGTGAATAAATGAGTATTGACTGTCTATATAACTTTGTACATAACTTAAACATAAGGTAATGTTTTGCATGACCTAACACACTAATTTATCAACGAAAAATTTTCCCCGTTTATTTGATGGAAAAATTATATAGTCAATCGGATAGCACCCAACTCGAGCTTTGGTATAAATAGGGTATATTATAGGCGCTCATTCATCCACCCATATAGCTTCTAAACCACGCAGACATCCGTAGGGAAGACCTATAGGTTACCATTATGTAAACCGGTTCACCCGGACTGTGAGCGGGAGTGCTGATTGGAGCTGGCCCACGTGACATCTTCAATGATAATCAGGCTGTTGTGCACCTAACAGCAACTATAGGGAGTAAAATCCATGTCCTGTAAAATATCGACAGAAAGCGAGAAACGGACTCAATGTTATTCGCAAGCTTCGGTAGATGTCCTAAATCACTTTATAAGATCAACAACATAACCTAAACGTCATACTGGATGTGACGTATCAAGAGCTATTTCGTATACCACATTGTTCAATCTTATTTCAGGAGGTAGATCTTAGTTTACTGGGCCATTTCGACACCAAAATTGATTTCATAGCCGCTCAGGCGTTGGTGTTCTAGTGATGACGTCACCAGATTATCTTCTCAAAGGATACGTGCTCGAATCCCACTACCATCGTATAACTTTCCCCATTATGTGTGTTATATGGCAGCCCTTTATCTGTGCGCTCCCCTCTTCCTGAAAACATTATATATTCAATAAAATAGAGGAAAATGAAAAAATCTTTACGAGAACCATGTGGACAAATGATGTTTCAGCATTTAGTTTTCATACAACTAAACTGTCAAAACATCTTGGGTCACGATGGGATTGAAACCCACATGGGGACACACAGGACCTTTACTAGTTCGATACTAACACCACGCGTTTCTCTCTCAACAAAATAACTACTATACCGTTTTAGTCGTCGCAAACTTTATTTTTAGCTTTTGGAGAAATCTGTCGGAAAGTGTACATGCACAGCGCTTAAGGTTTTTCTGACCGTCATTTTTACGTACTCTCTAGTTCAACTGAATATGTGTTTTTGCGATGCTGTTTCATTCATGTGATATGCGCGTTCAGATTAAATCCAACCCCTCCCTTGTGGTGTTTCTGGTTCATAGGTCATGGAGTGCAGAGCTCACCCGTTGAAAATCTGAACCGATTACACATCGCGTTCCAAGCGCCAGCAGATAAACAATTTCACACACCCCCGGTCATCATCCAGATATATAGTTCCGATATTCTCATAATAAAAATGATCACATACTCTCGACTTGAGTGTTTTGCATGAGCAAGTGAGGGGAACGGAACCGAATCTCATTTAATTGGTAATGCTACAATGGACTGATTTTTCAGTTCAGTTCAGTTTGTACAACCATTAACCACGCATATTCGTGCGTCGGTTTTGGTTGCTGTCTTTTGGCTGCCCATTTGGATGAAGAATAAGAGAACAAAGGAAAGTTAAAAGTGGCGTCGAACAGAAAATAAAGAAGTTCAGTGGTCTAAAGTTGCAAAGAAATTGAGAAGATGCACGAACGCCACTGGTTGATCGTGTACGTATTTGTTGTCAGAACAGGATTGATTGACTGCTTTTTCTGTTTAGCAAATAAGAGAACATTTCAGGGATACCTGAAAAGTTCCAATGATTATTAAATGGCTTCTTCTTTCTGGCCTTCCTTCTCTCAGGTCGGAAAAAATATACAATTCATACGTAACTCTACTGATTCCTTTACAGGTGATACGAAATGCTGACTCAAAATAGCCTGCTTGTTACCTGGTAGAAATCTAACTCATGAGTCTCGAATTCAGCCGGTTCACAGTCCGTGGTCAGTGTGTCCAGTTCGAGCACCCCGACAAACTTTGTCAGCGCATTCGCGATCGGTATGATTACACATGAGGCGATACTTTGACCGCGGTTTTCTTTCGTCTTCTCACGAACGGTGTTCAATGTGTCTTCGTCCAAGAAGCGAATTTCTTGAATATTTTCAACAGTCACCCGAGGCAAATGTATTAGTTCACCAGTTTTAATTGACTGTGGAGAAACGCATAGATAGGACGCAAAAACAACTTAAAAGAGAATCACAAATTTGGTGACAAGTAGATAAAAGAATCAGCTAAATAAGTAGTTAATTAGTTAATAACAATAATAAATAAGCAAGGAATTGTTTATGGTAATTTGTTGTAATTTATCGAATTATTCGATATCTATACATATCACTTCGGACTAGACTCAACTGTAAACAAAGCATTTTCATGTGATAGTTTCTATGGTTGTTGTTTTTTTACCCGTTTGGTCGATTGATGAGAAAAGAGTAGATTGAAGAGTTATAACCGGAGAGCAGTGTCAAGATGCGAGTGCAAAAAGCTTGTGAGTGTGGTTCATCAATATTGATATATAACCCTTTAGATGATACAGTTCGTGAACAAGAATTCCATTGCAGTTATTAACTGGTTCTTCAATTTAATTATGAAATACAATAGGCATAAACAGTTTACCGTTTAATTTGCATTCCTATCGATTCTTCATAACTGAGGCCAAATGTAAATGCATGCATTGGAATGTATGAGGACCTACTTGAAAAGTGGGACTTGAATCTGTCGGGTACAAATGGAGACCGACAATCTTTTTCGCTTCAGTTTCCGGCACCGCAGCCACACAAGTCAGGACAGTCTGGTTTTGATCCGTGATGGATTGGAGCATGGATATTTGCACACTGATCTGTTTCTGTCCACCAAACTGGAATGTGTCTTTCAAAATAGTCTGTCACGATGGAGGGCAGGGGTGATGGAAAGAAATCCGAACCGCTGAGATAGCAAGTGAGAAAATCTTTCGTTTGTTTGATCTTCGTATCGGACGTTTCGAGTCACTACCTAACCGTTTTGTCACGTTCCCCAACATGAACCATCACAATCGTCTATCGGGACTAACGCCTTCAGTTTGGGTGGCACAATACAATAAGTTTGATTGATTGATTGATTACTGAGAGAGACGGAGAAAATGATTGATGTTCACAAGACAGAACAAGGACACATTTGTTTGGAATACCGACAACTTGCTTGAAGTGATGCGTTTATCGATCAGTTACCTTTAGTGAAATATTTATTACTGTTCTGCCTACTGACGGCAGGTAGTCCAAATCAGACCCGGCTCGACAGCATATCATTGTACCGGAATTGATAGTTTAAGTTACCGACAGTTTTTTTTCACACGGTAGATATGAGCAAATATGGGGTTTATTTTTTCCACTGTGTTAAATCCTGTTATTAAACGTATAAAATTACTTTTATTGACAGATTTCAGGCAGAACAAATTGATTGTGTATGATGACTGTTAAATATGAGGAGATTGTAAATAACCAATAAAAATGAAAAACAACCTCGATGGAAATTCCTAGTTAATAGGAGTGTTTCATTATTTGACAGCATTATCTTTATCTTTTTCTTTTACTTCCTTTTATTGAACATGCAACGGTACAATTTTCAGGAAGGGGGGAAGCGGCCAAGCAAAGGGCTGCCATTCAACACACAATGGATAAAGTCAGGCGGTGGTGGTGGGATTCGAACACACATCCCCGGGGTAATAATTTGGTGATGTTACCACCGGGCCACCCCCGCCCGCTGTATGTACATGAGCAGATATAGAGGAAAAATGCACATTAGATTTGAGATACTGCACCATTTACACATGTTCTTATCTAATTGAATTCGTTTTCAGCCACCCCAAGCTTGGGTACTATTATTTTTGTGTGGGTCCCGTTTGATGGGACGTTCTCCATTATCCACATTTTATACCATCCAGTTATGAAAGCACTTACGTGATGATCCACAAAGAACAGACGCCACAGCAAGCACTACGTACTATTCTTGTGTCCATGCTACAAACGACGAGACAGCTCCTGGTGTCTGTATGTTGGCACGGTGTAGAACAAAAGCATTCATTTATACACACCTCCAAGGTGTGCCCCAGTCGACCGTACTGCTCAGGAGTATGGGCCTGGCCTCCACATGCATTTGCCGGAGAAGTTAATAATTGTAGTATATATCGACCTAGTGGTCGAATCATCTAGATTTAATAAACATTCCTCTTCGTTTAGTCTCCGACTACTTTATTCTTCTATTTTTCACTTGGTTCTGCGACTTACACAGAACATGCAAAACCACTTATGACCTACTATGAAATTATTATATCGTTCACTTATGTCAACTCACGGACTGCCTCCAAGGTTCTGATATTGGTTTCCAATCAGTATTGGGGTGCTCCGTCAACAAGACTATTCGTCGAATGCCTCAGAATACCAGTTATTATTGTCAACTAAACAAACGGGTTACTTAACTTGATAAAGACTTTGTCTCCCGCTGAACAATCACTCAGACTGGATGTTCTTGTCAGTCGAATCAGATCAAACCATTGAATAATGGTCCATCAAATGAATCACAGAAGACATCGAAGCCGGTTAATCCCTCAACTGCTTCTCCATCTAAGAAGCAACTTGGACAAATGGGACAAATTGAAACGGACCGCATGCATTCTTAAATCCGAAACGTTTCTTTTCTACAGAGGGGGGGGCTGTCCTCATCGCGTTAGCAAGAAATTGCTACATTTCACGTCGTTCTGATTCTTGAATGGTGATAGATTAAAGTAAGCTTCACTATCCAGAAAAAAGAAACAATAGCTATCAAATATGGAAGTGAACAGACTTGTTTTTGGCGTTTAATCGATTGTTGAATTACAGTTCTTGCAATACTGGACCAACAGTGACACGGCAGCAGAGACGTAATTTTAAGATGACCAAATAATTATGTGATGACAGAATTATGCTAATTGGTTTGTTTGTCCTTGCGTTAGTGGACAAATGAGAGAGCGAATGAGAGCCAATGGAAGAGACCAGATAATCCTATGACTTATTTATAGAAAGTCAGTAAGTGGGTACAATCTATCGACACTCTGAACAGGATAATGTTCGACGAAGCAAAGTAACCCGCATCAATAAACTACTACTGTTTACGTACTTTTCTGTAGCTGGCATAAGTGACTGAGAGAGGAAGATATCTGTATCTTTTTCTTTCGAATAACAAACACCATATTGCACTAGGCGTCGACAAAAGCAAATCATTCGTTGGTGGACTATCGGTCGAGATCAAAATGGACTCCAAACTCTGCCGGCGTTATGACGATATGCATATGTGCTACTTTTTTCTAGAAAATCAACATAGAACCACTGCTTATAGACACAGACTTAGTGCATAGTTGGGACAGAGGATATTATTTTCCTGATCGACATAGAGCATGTCCAGTTTCGATCAAAGAGTCTGATCGAAATTGACCGTATGGTACCTCAGTCCAAGATCCCAGTTGGTTCCAAAACAGCAAGGTGTAATGTTTCGCACCGATGTAATTATAGCACTGTGTTCAGTTCTGATACCATATAAATTTATTGGATTGGTATCGTTAAAAAAAATTTTTAGATATATGAAAAACAAAACGGATTCAGAAGCCCATAGATCTTGATCACAATGATTAGTAACGAGCGCTGTTTTGAACAGCAAGACAAATATATCGCGCTCTAACCTATGTTGATGACTGCAGAAGGGAGAGAGCAACACAATCTTTTGATTTGCATCTTCAAGAGAAGTTCATCCCTTTAGTTTTTCTCAAGGAGTCCACGTGTACACCCGCATGCGACGCTGATAAGTTTAGTTGTATGAAAAATATAACTGACCCTGAGAAACTCGATAAGAAGGTTGCAGCACAATCAATATATATACGACAATCTGTATAATTTTCATTGTACCACTCTCAGAGCTTATTTACTCAGATACCAAATATCAGGTAGATTTGATGCGTCTCAAAGAGCATTATTTTCAGTCGATAAAATTATTAGGATAGCTTGCTGAATGATGGTGATTGGGAGATGCAAACGAGTTGATATTATCCAATTTCTCAGATTTTTCTACTCTGTAAGCATATATGACCAGCACACCTGAAGAGCGAAAACAAATGCGAAACCGAGCATGTACTGAAAGGGTAGTGTTGTCAGGTCATCTACATGGATGATATATTTTGTCCAAAAATAGCACGTTGCAATATCTTCAGAAATACCAATGAATTGTCGAAGCTTCGGTACAGTTCTGATGGGTTCGATCAGATGTGTAAAGCGAACAAAAATGAATAACAACTCCCACACCCAAGACCACCAACCGTGCCTGGTGCCTGTGAATAGGTTATTCCAAATTAACTATAATTAAATAACAACTCCCGTTTGTCTGAACGAAATTTGAATAAGTTACAATGCAATTTTACGAAACCGATGATTCACTTTTTATTATTCAATATGAGAATGAAGGAAAACTTCAAGTGTTTAATTTACGTGAAATCAAGGACAAAGTATATAGGGGTATAGCTATACTAGGGTTAATTGTGTAATCAAACTTCCCTTCGCTTCAAGTTATGCCACAAGAGATACGCCGTAATTTAAAGCTTAGGAAGTTCAGCACTATCAATATATATCATAGGAGGGAGAAAAATGACTGATTTTCCTGTGATTCCCAATGTATAGGCAAAGGTTAGCATGAAAAGAAGTTTCACTCTTTCTTGGTTGTCTATGGCTATTCAAAGAAATGATTGCGCACACTCATTCACAATACCTTATTCAATCGAGAAAAGTTGCACAGCACAACATGCACTGTGAGCCGAATCTCACCTGGAATACGGATTTATAGATAGGTTCCATGGATATTGTAGAGTACTTTACTATGCGATCAATCGAGTGCAACCAGATGTGTCGCGTTTTCAATCGTAACTGATGCTCCAAACTATTTGTCGGATGCCGAGGGACAAAGTCAATCAATTCCTTGAGTTTGCTCAGCATATTCGTAAGCCGTTCATTTTCTTTCACACTTTCGTCTGAACGGAATATGGCCATAAGAAGATTGTAGAATTCAGGAAGACTGAATTTGTAATTTTCAAGGGTAGAAAATTTTGATGATATGGCCTGGGCACTGGTCTTCTGGGTAGAAACAGACGATTGACTTGTATATTTTGGATCGCGCAGGGTTCGAGACGAATGAAACCGTTTTTGCATTTCAGCGTTTGCTTGTTGGGAAAAAAAGGATGTTGATATGTGCATTCAATGAAATGAAACGGAAAACTGAGTTACTTCCGAATTCCCAAAAACAACTGGTCGAATTTGAATAAAACTGTTGTTAGTGGCAGCCAGGAATAAGAAAAGAAAATGCACTATATAATAAACAGCAAACAATGAATTCATTCCATTTCATTATAAAAATGATTAAGTCGCCGAAAGACAAATTATTTTTATGGTACTTGAGTAAAAGTATTTGTGCAAATTTGATTGAAATGCCTTTGTGGTGAGCAACAAGGTTAAAAATATTTTATTTGCCCATGCATAGAGAGTACGATTTAAAGTTACTTAATAGAAATAAATAACAAAAATATTTGTAATCAGGCAATTTAGACATGACATTACCTTCACGCAAGGCTTCAATATATAATCCATTTTGAAATTGTTCGAGCAGTTTCTCGATTTTTCCAAATTCAATCAGACCAGATGATTCTGTGTTGAGTAAAGTGAAAAGCTCTTGAACAGCCATATCCAAACGTTGTTTCTGAGTGGATTGTATCTTCTAAAATTCGAACGAATCGATAATGCTTCGCATCGGTTAGTTGCACTCGTGGCAAAAAAATAAAAACCTTGATATACTACTTGAAACTTTTGAGTAACAAAAGTCAAAATACGAAAACAACAACAATGGGTCGCGTTAACCAAGCAAATACGTCATGATATTGCCCTTCTATACCAATTCGATGCTATTACCGTCAAATGTGAGTTTGTAGAGCTTCAAACCGAATGATGAATCCCAGTGGTGGGAGAGGTGTTTTGGGCATAAAAGTACAATAGCCATGACCGTAGCGGCTATTTTTAACAGATCCCCCCAACAACTACGAATGGCGTAACATTACACAGTTGATTTTTTATTTTATTCCGCTGAAAGTAGATTCAATGTGCAGTCATGACACCTAACCGGAAATAAATATGGTCTGGAAATTGACCCATATGGCAGTTTAGAGCAAAATACCACTATATGAAACTTGGGAATCACTGGTACAGAATGGTTTTACCCTTAAAGCCACCAGCACTGAATGTCTAATGGGGTTGTGATGGCTCAAAACCAAGTGTGCTGGGTTGTGAGTCTCACATATTACCATGAGGGGACCCGAACTGGTATAAGCAAATGGCATCGCGGTGTCAAAATATTTCGCAGACAGTTCAAATCAATGTTGATACATTGTGCAATGCGGAGTTTTGATTTCGGATCTGCTCGACTAGTGTTCTGAGATAACCTATGAAATCACAGAGAATTTATTTTACCAAAGTAGATGTACTTTCAACATGGCAAGACTTGATTGAAAATGACATTACACAAATTAAGTCAAAATGCATTTCATGGTCGTTGGTCCAGTGTGGGTAGAAGTAGCCAATCACTTGTAGCCACCTTAAAAGACATTTAAAAATTCATCTAACTCAATTTGAGGAATAGTTTTAGAAGAGCAGTTTACTAAAGAAAATTGTACAAAAATTCACCAATCTTCTATCGGTTGTGTCGTCAATTACGATATGCAGCGCTTAAGGTCGAACTCAACGGAGAAAGCAATAGTATTTTCTTTGGAAGACATCTATATTCTATAGGGAGTACGAAGACCGTGGCATACATGTGGTGGGTGAAAACGGAATCTTATTGAATTATTTGGACTGATACAATGCAGAATATCCATCCATTTTAATGCTTCCGACTAACTGGTTGTCTTTGTCCTTTTTAGTTAAGACGACCATTCCGGTTTTCATGGTTCACCTGTGCGATTAGATCCTTGTGAAATGGATAATTCAACGACAAATAAGAATACACAGGCAAACGATTAGCAGAACAGGGGAACTAAACTAAAGATATTGCTCGTATTGGAGCAATCTCTCTACCAGGGGGATGTCGAAGGAAAACATTAAAATCATTTACAATAGAACAGTAAGAGCTGATAGTCTATCGGCTCATAGACCATGTGTTTCATTTCGATTGACACCGCCAAACTTCCGATTTTTCCCTACCCTGATAACCCTCTACTGAATACAGGAGTCTGCCCAAAAATAGTTATACGATTAATTATTATCCACCAAACAATCACAATAATGGGTGAATGGTGGTGCAGGTGCACGATGTTTGCTCCAACTACGTACAGTCACTATCACAGTGTTGTTCTCTAGGTAGTCATAAATGATAGCTTTCATCCTGGGTCAAGCAACTGCCATCCAAAGGAAACGTTACTAAGGAACAATTAATAAGATGGATGAAAGGGATAATATTTTTTTCTTTGTTTAAATTGTCCCCTGTAGTATGGAAATCAATCAGCCATTGTGGTAACGCGTAGATGTGCCGATTTCTCCGGCAACTGTCATTACACTACACGTGTTGGTTTCAAATGAATTTCTTGTTCTCGTTCATCTGTGTCTCCAGACTTAGCGGAGTGCATTCGGTTCTTACCCGATCGGGCGTTGCTTCTAGACGGTTTCCGCTCCACAACTTCCCATCAAGGATCTGTGATAAGGTCACAGTAGAAAAACCGATGATTTTCGCATAGCTATTGAAATCCTTTTTATCCCACCAAGAGCATTGCATAACTGTTTAGTTGTTGTTGGGACACTTTAGCAGCGCTTACTTTTTCGACACCCTCATGGATTCACACTGGGCCAAGATAACAATACTGCCATTTGTAACCAGTAGTACGAGAAGGACTGGATGAAGGAGGCATATGGGAGGCACACGAACGGTTTCACTGGGATTACAGTTCGTCGGGTACAAATATCCGGTATTCGCTCTTCTATTCGCATTTATATACTTGACCTTCGGATGCATAATTTCATCACAAGTGCCCAATAAGTTACATGGGAAGTAGATTTTGTGGACATGTTGTTTAAAGCAGTCCAGTTGTTAATTAAAGCGATGATTCTACACATTGTTGTTCGGATTATATGGTACGATAAATTTGGTTGAAGGCTATTTCAGAAATATTTGTACTAAGTAGTACGACCACCCGTTTTATATTCAGACCTCACCAACGAATTCAAACACATTAGTATCAAGTTGTTTTCGAGATTTTCATTTCCCTGCCTCCGGTTCCCTTCTGTATATCTATTTCACACGTTTCTGAGTCCAGACCATACGAAGCAAACCACGGTAGAACAATTGTCAGTATCAAATTTGGATTAATCCATTGTATAGTTCACGAGTACCAGGCAAGACCATCAACAGTGTCTCGTACCTGTGAGCAATCGATTGGATTATTCCAAATTGACTATTCTTAAATCGCGGATCAAACGCCGACAGGGACACCACAAGTATACACTGCTGACGAGTTCCGAACAAGGCGAAACACCTGTCCAGTGCTCTTTATCGATCACCACAACTGTTTTCGCGATGCTACAAAATTTATAACCAAGAGTTGCTCGTGAGTGGAATACCGTAGTGATTTACAACCGGAGCATTTTGCTAACCAAATCCTGACCCGAAAGGTAGCGGAACTGGTCGATGGCTTTAACAGGCTGATTGTGTCTAACCACCATGGACTGATGAAATTAAAACTATATTCATTCTAAACTGAATGATGTCGCATATAACCAAATCTCGTCATGGTAAAAGTGCATCTGCTTTGGTATAATCACTTCTCTCACACACACTTCCCTCCTCACAATTTATCTGGCTTGATTGTTATAATTAGTTGAAATGAGCTGAATCCATTTAGGTTACTTCTAAATGGACTGGAGCATTGTGTGATTCCATAACATCAATGGTGAACATCAAGTTGGCACATATTAATCAAAACCCAGACATTCTAAACTTTAAGTCTTACAATTTGCCAGTTGACTATCCTGTTAGGGGCGTCAAGTATTGGCAGAGGTTTGATTATTATTAGTAGTATTAATAATAGTAGTAATGATATTGATGCATCCAATTTTCATTAACCGAGTTATGAAGACATCTCTAATTCAAAGTGGTATTATTAAATAGTAATCTATAATCATCCCAAGACATTTAAAATGGATGATATATTGTTGTACAACATTACCCACCATTTGTAACCGCTGCTCTCTTTCCGAATCACCGGTTTTACGATATTCCCGTTCAAAATATTGAATTATATCTTCAACCACACTCAACGGTGCTGTATCACGAACGAACTGGCTCATTAGTTGCAAGAATTGCAACAGAGTCAGCCTTTCTGGATTGTATCCGTGATGGAATCGCCGTAGTGATGTCACGTCGGGGGAATTGCTCAACGGTTTGGAGCGAACACTTAGTGCGCTAATTATAGCTAAATGTGAATACAAGAAAACAATAAAGATTTTTGAGAGAAGATAAATACCCTCTATTAATTCCGGGAAACCTAAGTATCCGTGAATTAGCTTCAAACCAAAATTTGACCGTTGAAACGAAAAGTAATACATGATTTTGAGTGAATTAATTTTGAGCATAGCAATTTGTGCAACAGGTAAAAATACATAGAGAAAGAGATCATTGTGGTCCAAAGTACCATATCATTATCTTGTTGGTTGATTTGCCTTTTACGGCCTCGATATCATTTATCCCAGTGTCATTTATCTGTCGAGGTATTTAACTCAATATACATATTGTTTTTTTGTTCACACGCCATTCATAATCATGCAGCCACAAAATCCAAACAGAGTGAGAACGTGATGTTTCAGTAGACGCGCCATGACAGAGGGCGTTGAGCTCCATCTGGATTTTGGCATGTTTGACAGTATTGCTTTCACTATCAAGACACAGTTTCACCGATCCACAAGGGTAGCTGTCGTAGCGATCGGGCTAACCACCCCCCGGTCAAAAACCTCTTTTTAGTAAAAAAAACAAATGCAGGGAATTTATCTTTACTAACTTCATGATGGTTTTTTAGAGGACTAAAACACAGACTCTCTCTCCAGGAAAATGTTTGGTGTACTAAAACTTTACTTCTGATCCGAAAGGTTTTGACAAAGGAACTGCTCAAAGGTGAAGCAACAGACGTGGGTTACCTGAACCTTTTGGAGCGCTTGATCAGATGAACCGCAAGGTAGTGCTGTGGAAGCTCTAAATCATTTTTAACTCCAAGAACTCATGCTCGGTTGGTAAGAGGGATTTCTTCGAGTTTCTAATTGTTTGTGTGATCTTATGGAGGCTGCCTGTGAGGTAACGCAGGGATCCAACGTTGACCCCCATCTTTTAGTTGTTTTTTATAAATGATCTGCGGAACGTTCTAGGCCACAAACAACACAGTTTGCAGACTGTGCTGAACTATAGATTGCAGTTACAAAACCTGAGGGTTCATCAACGCTTCACAGAAAATTCAACGCAGCATATGATTGATTGAATTCAATACATCAAAATTTCCGTCACAAATTTTCGCTTTTACTTGTCCTCAAACATCAACAATGACTACACACTTCGAATGAGAGGGATCTTGATAAGATCGTTCCAGGAGATCTAATTTTTTTGGGTTAACTGTTTCGTGGTGCCGTCCCTGGGGTGATTTGCATTCTTGTATATTCGAGCGTCTCCGGTAGATTGAAACAAACGCTCACAGGCTGTGCATGATCAGCGTAAATTCGATAACAAATTGAGAAGGTCAACCCACCCTTGGAATTCATGGTTTAAAAGCAAAAGTTTTGGAAAGCTTCATAAACAGACATAAAAGACGACCACTACGACAGCTAAGGGTTTGAATTCGAAAATCTATGTGATCAGATTGTAATCAATGAGATTATACTCCACTAGTTATACGACCGAATTCAAATAAACTTGAACTTGGGGTATGAAATACTGCAGAACCCCAAGCACCCATTTTACTTAAGGCTCACATCAAGAGATATTCATTTGACTTATTGTTCGAAAAATGTTGACCAAGATCGTGGCGTCATTTCCTTGCCCTAAGAGAGTGCATTATTTCATGCATTATTTCACGTTGTCAGCCCATATGCTATTGCTTCATTCAAGTAGATACTGGATGACGTGTTGATATGTCTAACAGTTCAGCCTCAACAGAACCACATGAAACACGGGAACAAAGTAAATTCATAATATTTATGATAAGCAAGACTATGTACAGTATGTGCTACCTTTTTTCTCCCCAATAATCAATTCCTTATGGGATAAGAGAACCAACGGGTTACAAACATCTCTCATGAGTAAAATTGGACTTTGAACACCATGTCCAAGTGCACCAGAGTTCGATGTGGTGAGTATCCCAGTGTTAGACCTCAAACAAACGAAAAGAATCCACGTTTCATCATCTCCTCCAGGTCTTTCTAGTTAGTAGTACTCGTGTGGATGATGTTTTGTAGCTCATACTGCGCAATTGATATTTAAGTTACTCCAAATTCATTTGAAGGACCCGTGCGAAGACGCGGTGCACAATAAACTCTATCTACGCCAGTATTGTACCGGTTGTAAAACCTGTAAACTCAAACTGATGCGAATGTAGTACGCATAGTTATGACTGGGGGTCCTGATATTTTATTTTATGGTTAAGGTTGATCGACAACTCACTTCGTTCATTAAGTGGAGATGGATGTCGGCTGGGAACGGTAGCTTCATTCAATTTTTCCAAAGGGTTTTCTGAAATGACCAAATATCATCAAATTTGTCACCAGTCTGACACCAAGAATTGAGTGGAAATAAGCAATTAGGTTAAAAGTATTATATTTCATCAGCTGTTTTTCTTATTTTACTGAGAGATCATAATATTTGCGGCATTTTAGACATTCTGTTAAAAAATAACAAATTTTGCCTGTTCTCAATCAAGTTATCTCAAAGTAAAAAAAAAACATACGATTCATCATGATTCTCTCTGAGTTACTTTTCTTTTCAATGTATAATGCTACCACAGGAATGATTAGTGGAAGTTTCAAATGAAAAGCTTTTCTAACGAAATAAAGACGAACCTTCAATAATAAGAGATTGATTTTCTCTAGCATCCACATTCTCATTTTCTGATGTGTTCNCGGTTCCAAGTCTGTATCGTCACGTGTCACCGAGGGAGAATGAGGTTGCATATCTTCATTCATTTCATCTGAAGAATCACGTTCCACTGGTAAAGTGGGCGATGCATCACGCACCAGGGTTTCATTTGCCATATTGTAACCAGTGACAGGTTCCGTGTGTAATTCATTAAGAACAACCGTCGCGGAGTTGTTCTGATCCAAGGAGAATTCGATCTCCGGATTTTTCAAATCAGTCGGTGAAGTATCGTTTTCTCCTACCGCCAGTTGTTGGGCGTTTTGAGGAGTGACACGTAAGTGGTACTCCCGAACAGGCCCTGAAAGTTGCAACGGAAGGAAATTCATTCATCGCATACCTATAGAAAGTAAAATTATTGATTTGAGCAGGAAATCCTTCTGTCCATATTGTCACGCACAATTCTCCATTAACCCAGCCTTTCTCAAGTTTTGATCACGCTAGGTTGCACCAGTGCACAAGCCATAATCTTATCCACGCAATTGAACTCCTAACCTTCCGAAGGAAGATGTGTATATTACAACCATATCACACCAGCTCATAAAAGGTTGTCCTACATACTATTTGAAGTTTCATTTTCAGATCATATATTAAATGACAACCAATCAGTTCCGTTCTGGCAACATCAAAGTAAGACCTCTATGGTGACTTCACTTGGAAGCTTTGTGCTGAATACGGTTTTCTATTCTGGTAATTTGATAGTTCTCGGCCGGTTAAACTTTCTAGCCTGGGGTTTTATTTTACACTGTACTTTATCATTGTGGGACACGTTAAAAGTTGAAGAATAGTATTGGTAAAGGTGATCAGTCAAAACAAATAATAAACTATTGCATAGAGCATTCTACGCATTACTAATCAGATTATCATATTACTGCCAACCAAAATCAGAATCGCTCTTTGATGTTCCCTAATCTACTTTAACGAAATTCGGAGACTGTCAGATTAAAGTCTCATTTAGTCAGTCCATCCATATGGATTATACCTATATACTCACGCAATACACAAACGAAATAAGGTGAACCACACAGAACCACTCACGGAAACCCAGTATAAAACACCAACGATGAGAAACTGATAAATCAATGCTAGATGAGCAAATTTCTCGTGGCCATTTCAACTTGTGACAGTGGAATATAAGTAGTCGATCAAAAACTACTCGTTTCATTTATTGGCTTGTCTCGGGAAATGAGTAATCTGAAGTCTTCACCAAAAGACGGCGTTGAAACTGCAACTTTTATTTGAGGATGGCACATTTACTATCGTATTGTCAAGTTGGCCACGTGACCAAATGTGAGTTTTCACTCTGGGTAATTATCCATCATGTATCTGCTATATTACTTCTGCTTTCCGTTTGTTTCATTTCGAACAATAGTTTTCCAAAAGCAAGAGTAGCTTCATGAGTTACTGATCCAATTTACGGCGTCTTATTCACATGAAATCTGAATAGTATACCGCCCCCCCCCCCGCCCCGCCGAGTGAGTGATTTGTTTCATGCTTCATTATTTTGGACTCACAATCTCTCGGGTTCCTTAGCATAATTCGCACATCTCTCGGGGCGGAATCGAAGTACGTGTCGCACATAGTGAGCAGTTTGTACCTTGAAATGGTGTCTGACTGCAATGAGAAATCAAAAGAAACGAGTTGGATGGATTGTAGAATGTAGTAAGCGACGCAACAGATCATATATAAGCTTATCATAACAAATGATATCACGATTCAGTTCAGTTTATACAACCATTAACCATGAACTTTCGTGCCGAAGGTTTAGTCGCTGTCTTACATTAGATAAAAGCGAGCATCGTTTGCTTGTTCAAACGTTCTTTCTCAGTTGCCCTCAGATTCCGATAAGGTGTGCATGATACCATTAGCGGGACAGTGCTGAATCAAACAGTGTTACCGTTGGACAGTCAGTACCGTATTTTCAACCGACTAAGCTGCAAACTGATTTTGTGGTAAACCACTAAGTTTTCCTCTCCTTTTCTGAGGAATAATACCCAAGGAGTTTACTAACGACTGTCAACCGCAAAATTTGGATCAAGCTAGAATGTCGGTGTAATGCACACTGAGGACAAATCAGCTATTAAAGAAAAAATGTATTGTAAATCATTTGGACCAGATTCATGAAATGCGATGGGAATGTTTGTGATAACCAACAAAGAGCACTGGACAGCTGGTTCGTCCTGTTTGGGACTCGTCAGCAGTGCGTACAAGAGTGCCTGGTGCCTCTAAAAAATCGAATGGGCTAATCCAAACTTCATACTCTAAAATGACACGCATGAGTTTATGTATGGTTTAAAAAAGAGTGTCACGGATTTCAGCTCGACTTTACTTTCTTCAATACTCCCTGTCGCACAATTANTAGTTGCGATTCCGGACCCAAGGCCGGTGATCAGAATAAACCAGCACCATTCATTGCCTTCTGCCCAATTTAAAGTGTCGCATTGCTTCCAATTCGTAGCGGAAGAAAAACATCGAAAACGTAGTGAATTGGTGCATTACATGCAATGAGTATGCCGCAGCAGAGTAAGTCATGTTCTGCTCATGTATTTTGAGCATGCAACGCATGTTTACATCCTATGAATATCAGTATCTTGCTGTCCTATACATATACATACACATATACATATATATATATATATATAACACCAGCTTGTAGACTAGCATAGTGCCAACCCCATAACAACAATAAAAAAATAACATTAGCGGAGGAGGTCGGGATACAGAACACGGTAAAAAAAATACGGAGCTGTTAAAATGGAAAATTATGAATAAATGGGATAAAAATAACACCAATTTACTGTAGTTGTATAAATATAGCGCGGAAATATGATGTAATATGCAGTTAGTCCACTATTTCTGGCAACCTGGGGCAACCTATGGTAGCAATCTAGCTGTCTTGATCACTGATTATTGTAGGCCATCAAGCGATCGCTTGAAAATCGTATAAGGCAAGCTGAAAAATTGAGCTAGTCACGCGACATGACCTAACGGTATGTTTATCTAAATACTGCTCATCATGCATCCGTCGCAAACGCATGAACGAGCGCCCTCCTGCCCAATGAGGTTGAAGCGGTTGTATGGATCGTGAAGGTTATTTAGTGCAAAAATTCATCTAGATCAGCAAGCATGAACAATTTGACAATGAAAGTTTCACGGCAAACGAAGTTACAGTGCACTTATTCTACAAGTAAATACGCCATGAAATGAACAGAACGGCCTGACTGCGTATAGTTGATCCACTCACTTGGTCCAGATCACACGACACAAAGAAATGTGTCAATAAATGTTTCCTTTTCTCTTTCGCCACAGTATCACGATAGGCCGACGCACAAAGTTCCAAATGTTCCATAAACACGTCAAAAATTTCCTTACTCAACGGTTGGGCATACATCATGACGTACTGGGGAAGTCAGAGGAAAACAAATAAACAGATAATAAATTAATGTGAACATATTCCCACGCATGAAATTTCCGATAATGTCCAGTTATACTTGTCTATAGGCACTTTGTCCGATACGGTAAATAAACAACTTTCATATAAATTTTTTTTAATTTTTGGCACATTTGGTGTATTTTGTCTAATTCATAGACAAGTAATCAATGTCACAATCCTAACATGGAAATTAACATTTACTTTTAAAAGCGCTTTAAGTTTTATAAAAAAAAACAAATTAGGAAAATCGAAAAAAACAGGACATGAGTTTGTGGGCGCACATTTGCATTGATGTATGGGGAAAAACAGAAGAGACATTTGGATACAGTTGTCTATATAGGATTGCCTGGAAGTGTTATCATGTTTTCAACAGCAGTTACATCGACAGCTCTCTCATGCATGCTTCATGGATCCTTTTGGAAATTTAAATAAATTCAGTCAGCTATTGCATACTTGTTTAGACTTTTCCAACCTCTCGTCTTTTCTACCTTACTGTTCAGCATCTTCTGCCGTATTTCTCCCTACATTGCGATCTAGGAACAGGCTTACAGTGTTAGTAGTGTGTTCATCACTGAGTCAAGAGCAGTTTATACCTAGGTGAGTAGTGGTTAGAAATTTACCAATTGTGGTCAATCCATGATATGGCCGAAATTTTTAAATGTCCTTGAAATTAGCCAAATTGATAGAGTGCGATAATCGAGAGTTCTCGGCAATTTGTGATTAGCAATCCTTGATTTTATTTATGGTTAAATGTGGAATGCAGAATCGCTCTTGTTTTTATTATTGTCGGCCGTTCATTGAAATTGTCTGTTAGCAGTAGGCTGCCTGATTGGATTTTTTAACTATTTTTTATGGTATATTCTGCCAGATGGTATATATCTGTATAGCGTTTCACCGCAAATCTGAGGCAGGCAGTCTATTAACATCGTACACAAACGAGAGCGAGGCGTACGAAAGTGGATGACTAAATAAATTATCTTATTTGGTTCGATGATTAGTTCGATAGTTTAGACTGTTACGTTGAACGGTCATCCAATCCATGGTAGACAATCAAACTGAGGTACTTCTCTACGAGTCTTCGTGAATGGTTTCAAGGATTCATATCGTTGTCAACGCATGGGTAATAGAATCCCTTCAGAAATTTTTCCATTAGGCAGTGATTTAACTTTGAACCCTGCTTAATCACTTTGAGAAAATTGCACGTCTGTGTAAATTCATTCACTATATTCCATTCGACCGTCGCTCCTGTTCTTTTCACCCATTCACAGTTTCTTACTAATAGTAGATCGACTAATTTAACACTTTTCCAATATCACCTTAATAATCCAACTTTATTTTATCCTAACAGATAAAAATAGGGCCCAAAATTGACATCCGTAATCAGTTGGGTGTTTGGATCAGCCATCTTACAGAAACAGATGATCGTAACACGCATGTGAATTCAAGGTTTGAATGTAAAAATCATAAACTTATTTTATTCTAATTTGATTGACGAAAAGCGAATGGGTCTCATCGCCACATTATGCGTTTATGTGATGTTCCAGTACGTAGACGTTTTGATTTATCAGTTTGATCTGGGTCAAATTGAAATGTAAACAGTTCAAATATTGTGTTTTGGCTGGAATGAGTATTACTCACGATTATGAACTCCGAACGATCGTACGCTTTGGGACGATCCTCCACAATTTTCTTCTCGAAAATCGGAATCAACAATTGTCGCATTGTTTCAGGCAGTTTCACGGACAAGTGCAGAAATGCGTAGATTGCGCTTTGAATCTGTAGAACAAAATAAACCAGTAACCGACTCAACATAATCATCACTTAACTGGTCAGACGCAACGAGAAGACTAACGAGACAAATCTGATGATAAATTCAAGAGACCATTACTCAAACGCAGCTGCCAAATCTAGTGCTAGCTTGATAGTTGTTCACAGTGCAAGTACTAGGGTATCCACGTAAATGTACTGGCTGGCTCACATCATTCCACGGGATAGAGCGTCACACTTCAGAGACAAGATCACATCTCAATCGAGTCGTCTTAACCGTCTTACGATATTTTGTGACAATTATATCACTTGCAGACAACCATTTTTCCAACGCAACAATGACACTAACAGAAAAGAATGGGGCTGGAGTACGACATGGAAAACAATCAAGTAAAGAGCTAAAAGAATCAAAACAACATTTTTGGTTTATTAATATATCCTACAGTGGTTGGATAATATTTGTCCCCCTCTAAATTCGGCGCGATAGTCGATGAGACTATCGATCAAATGGTAATGGTCTGTATTTGTATAACTTGTGTGAAACTACGTGCTTCCATCTCAGTTAAAAATATACATTGGTCACCACGGTGGATAAAATATTCAAACTCCCAATGAGAAGCAAACAGACAGCAAGTAAAACCGCCGCATGAAGATATATGCTTAACGGCTGTAAAAACGGAAGTTGTACCTATTTGAATGTCACAATGGTGTAAATCACTCTTCTAACATTATTATTCATGAGGCGAAAACTTTTGTTAGTCTTTTTTTCAAATAAACTTAAACGCGCACCTTAGGAAATGTTGATCACTAAAATAACTCACAGCAGAAGCCTCGATTGTTTGTTGTCCCGGTGCCAAAAACTGATCAAACAAATTTATCACACATGACTCTCGGCGTTTAGATTCTTCCTCATCTGCCTGTTTCTTCCGGGTCTTCTCTTCGGTTGTTCTCATCACAGCCGCTTTCAGATTAGCCAGTTGACTATCGCAGCGCATAAACATTTCGTTTTTTAGTTTGGCGACCGTGTTTCTTAATCCCCGGACATACGGAGAAGTTTCACAAAAATTGTTATATCTATGATTGTTACGCATAAGGAATTCCGCCAGTCGGTTTATGGGATTGAAATTGGGATCGGCTCCATCGGACTGAATCGCACTGTCCTTAACCTTCGGTCCGACAAGCTGTTTCGCAATCGCTTCTCGTAGAACGTGTTCTAAACCGAAAATTACTTGCGGTAGAACACTGTTAATCAGATAGGCTCGATTCTCAATAGTTCGTTGTTCCAAGTTCAACCATTCAGAGGCCAATACATCGATAGAGACCTGACGTAGCAATTTACGAATACGAACCTTGTCCGCCTCCTTTTCGGCTATTGAGTTGTCGAACATAACAGCCAAACTACGCCTGGCAAATTCATCACCAGAAGTGGTGCGATTGATGGACATTTCTGGAGCTGTTCGAAAAAAATCAGAACTGTTTCGCAAGATCACCGATACGTCTTGAGTTTCTGTGTATGTGGAAGGTTCAGAAATTTGACGTTGGAAACAGCATGGTCGTTTAGAAGGAGTTGCTCCCAAGTCGCGAAATGTGTACATAACAATATTTCTGACAGTCAGAAGAAAATAGAAAATATCGCACTGAGAATTAGCAAAGCAACTGATAATACTTCAACAAGAACAGTGGTGGGCCACTCAATCAAAACTCGTTATTATAAACAGTATATTAACGGGAAGAAAAACCTAAAAGACCTCGAAGAACAAGATACCGAGAGTTTTGGTATCTACTGGAAGTCACTTCTACTCAAGCAAACAAGTCTAAGGTTTCAAAGAACAACATAGAAGGTGAGTAAAGAATATAGCGAACGAATAACATTATTCTTATGTTAAAACCATTCTGTTACCGCTTTTTCTTTCAATTACGAAATTCACAGGTCATCTTTACGGTGGCTTTAGTTAAAACAATTATTGTACATTTAATTTTTGTAGGTTAAATAACTTAAAAGTTTGTATATCAGGCAATTTTTTACCGCCCCCCCCTCCCCACAACCTCGTTTAGTCCATGCTCCATGTTGCACAACTCCTCCCATTTTTATCACCAAAATTTTTGACAACACTGTTGACCCATGTGGTCAGTTTTCTTAAAATGCCTAACCTGATTGTCCGAAGGCACTCCCAGCAGTCCTGTGGTACACCTAATTGCCTCGCCTACAAATACGGTTCGGTACTCCTTTGGCTATGTACACATCTGTGCATTGCCCTATTTTGCTTTCATTCAATAATTACACGAATTCGTCTTTTCATTCGAATTTTTTATCTTCAATGCGTCCTGCAATGTTCAGTAATTGCAAATCAGTAAGTAGTTGTTCCGTTTCAAGGATGTTACTTGACCATTCCCCCCACAACCTATGTTGAATTACATCCTTTACATATATGTATATATATATATATATATATGGGGAGTGCTGGAATCTGATTTATAGCACCAAAGTCGGTCTACACAGATTTTCTTATCGTTTTGAAATTGGCAAAGAGAAACGTTAAAAGTCTGTCAATATTGCTTTGGAAATGTTCACATTCGTGCGAGCTTCTTCATCTATATACCCTATTTTTATCAGGGAGCTGAATATTAGTTTCCAGTGCCTCTTGGATTCTAATTCGATCACAGCTGGAGCTGTTACTTTTCGTAAAGATCATTGTACCGTGATTTGTCTGGCAAATTGTCTGGATTCAGACGAGTGTAAAAATCAGCCGTATTTGATAAGCAAAGATATAACCCCCATAGAAAAAGACGTCTATCAATTGAAAGCTTTCTGGAACTGAATCATGCAAAACCAGAATAATTCTGTCAATTTATTAGAATTTTGACCCCGAAAGGTATTTTATTTAAAACGTAGTACGGTAAAAAGTAGAAAGAGTCCAATGCATAGTCCCAGGGACCTACTATTCACCAACAGGGGCCAGGAAGTGATGCGCTGACAGGGTAAACATGGTATTGAGCCACCGAACAGTGGAGATGCTTACCAACAACTTTGAGAAATTAGTATTCGTGATTCACTCCGCTTATCAANCTGTATACAGTCTCCTTTTTATCGTATGTGCTTTCTCGTGTTTAATTTTCCTAACTCTTTTCTATCGCTCCTGCATTTATGCGTTTGTATCATTTCAGCTATGAAATAGATAAACGCTTCGTACAGACTAAACTAGCAGAGATGATCACACCTGTGAATTTAGACCCGTGCTGTTATTGTGTTAGTTGTCGTCCATAAACATATTATACTCATTTAACACGTAGCCAATTACATAGAATTGACAGATTTGCCACAACATATAAAGAAAGAGATGTGAAAACGGTTTAAATATGAATCAACGAATAAGAGTATCACAACAGTTGCGCCATTGATACCAGTTACCAGCCATGTCTAACAGTGTCTCAAGCCATAGATGTTCTCTGTCCTTGAGACCACAACCCGGGGGTCTAGAGCATCCTACCACTACCAGTTTTGGTGTTAGCGCCTTCATTGTTCGAGCCAAGGTTATTCGTTGTTCACCTTGTCTCCGCTTCCAGTTAGTGTCTGCTTGCGCCAACATAACACGATGGGACAATAGTTCAGCTGGCATTTGCAACACGTCCTAGCCATCAAAGCCTCTGGAGTGAGAAGACGACTCAGATTGTCTGCAGTGAAGATTCTCCGGCGAACCTCGTCGTTGGTGATTCGCTGTTGCCGACGTATTCTGGAGATGCAACGAGGGCAATTGTGGTCGAAGACTTTTAATGTCCGTACGTCTTCTGCGTGGAGGGACCAACTCTCACAGCCGTGAAATAAGACACTGCGTATTGTAGAATTGTGATTACAGTCTTTCAAACAGAGACTGAGATAGCGTCAGCGCCAAAAGTGACACAGTTTAGCGAAGGCCACTCGAGCTTTATGGAAAGTGCTGATATTTCTTCCGTCGGTCCCCTTGAGCTAAAACAACTCCCGAGATAAGTAAAGTGATCGAAAATTTCCAATCGGGCGTTCATAAGCGTGTAGCCTTTTGCAATTCTTGTAGTATAACCTTACATTTCGGTGGAGAAAATGTCATACCAAACTGCATGACGGACAGTGCTAACTTTCACGGACCTTTTGAGCGTCCTGGGAGGAAGATGATGTCTTCAGCATATTACAAGTCAAAGAGTCGATCACCTGGCAGTATCTTCACACCGGAAGCTGTGAGAAGGTTTGAGAAGTTTTACACAATTTTCAGGCACAGCACTTCTTAATAGAGAGTCCAAAGAGCTTCTCCGTCAACTGAGTAGAACGCAGTGCGTATGTCTAAAAACGCAATGATGGTCAATCTACTGAGAGTTTGACGTTGCTCGAGGATCTAGATTAAATATGTGATCAACGCAATTCTTCGCAGATATGACACTCTCTCGTTCAACTGAGCCTGTGAAGGATCAACAATGTTAACATCTTGGATGCAACGGAGATGAGACTAATCCCTCGGTGATTGGAGCGATGGCGGCGGGACATCCGCCAAACTCCATTCGGATGGAATGAATTCAGTATTCCTGATAGTTTGGAATAAGGAAGTTAGTTCTCGAACAAAGCTTGCACCACCGTCTTTGAAAAGGGCCAAAAGGAGCCCATCTGGGCCGGGCAATTTGTGGTGTTTCAGAAATCCGAGCTCTCAAGAGACTTCTTCCTCTTTAGGCGATGAAATGTCCACAGACCATGGGGCACCGCAGACATCCAGATATGAAGGTGATAATGTCGATGGCCAACTGAACTGTTGATGAAAGTGCTCCGCCCAGGACCCAAGCCGGCGATGTAGATTGTGGATACATTCGCCATTAGTTTTGCAAATGGCTCCACTAATTCGCGGCGTTTTGTTACCGGTGGTTTGAATTACTTGAAAACGTTTTGAGCATTACCGGAAGCAGTTATCTTGGTCCTATTTTAGGAACCGTTTCAGTCCAGCACTGAGAGTCCTGTGAACTGTTGAACATCATTACGATTTGACTGCGTTATTTCAGGTAGCCCAACATAATATAGGGTCTTCAGCTGCACAGATTCTACAGGTATTGTCTACTTTCGGTTGCAAAGCTTTCCCATTATTGTGATCAACGGTGACTTTTTATGGCGTAAGACGCAAACCTCCTGGGTATCATTTTCGACGGGAATGTTGTAAGAATACCCAACTGAATACGGTTTGGATGTAAACTAGGTTATTAGGTTTCATCAGATTACGATGCAATTTTAAACAATGATGAGGCAAAAAGGCTTCAATCGCCCTAAAATTTATTTAATCTCAAGTAAATTAAATTAACAATCACTCTTCAAAATATTTTAGATTGGGTTTTAGTTGCGGTTTCAGCTCGTCCTGAACAGATCGCATTCCGCGTAAGCTGTTTGCCTTGGCTGGCTGTTGTCAACACGCATACTGCAATTGTTGCCGCCCAGCTTGTGATAGAGCACATTCGACGATAGGGAGTATATAGCATGTGAATAACTAGACAGGGGTCCCCTGGAAGTTTTGTTCAGTCATTCACACAATACGTACTGTAAGATATTTCATAGATGATATTCAGTTCATTTTGCCAAGAATGTTATCGCCTGCTCTTTGATTCACTAATTGAGGGCTTTGAATAACATATCTGCGGAAAATACTCCCCTTGTAACTAATTACGTTTATATAAAAAATTGCATCCATCTGACTACAGACTGTGCTCCGAGCAAATCACGGAACAATCATAGACGTTTTAAGTAAATATAAATTTCTTCAGTCAGACATTGTGCACTAAAACCTAGATAATTTAAGGAGAGGATCTAATTAGGCCTGGTAGATTCTGTTTAAGTCCAGGAGAAGCCTTGTCTCTTTAGATTCGAAACGGAACCAAAATTACTTACAGGTTGGTTGTGATTCACTTATCCTAAATATCCATGAGATCTAAATCAGTAATACATCGCAACTACTCGAGATTCTGTTGTAACAGCCAAAATCATGCAATGCTCAAGACGTTACATTAGCTAAGTTCTTGGCTCAAAGTAGGTATGTAAAATTTCAAAAATGAAAACATTTCATATAAATCTAAGATAAAAAATGTTATGTATATAGGAAAAGGCATTTATTTTCAGGTATTTTTAAGAAAATTGTTGTTTAAACTAAATTGGAATTGCTTGATTATTCGGTCAATAATATTCCATATTTTTATTAACCAAGAAGATTAGAAACCAACTAATCTTCAGGCAACATTGCTGCTTAGGGGCTGAACACCCTAACAGTACCCGTCCATCAAACCCCATTGCGTATGCCTTTTAGTCTGGCAAAGATCAGTGAAATCCGCTTCTCTGTATTTCGCTGTACGATGATGATGATGACATTGCTGATCACTAGTGATCTAAATCAAATCAGATCCGAATGCATTTGATATTGAAGCTTTATTAGTTACTTTTTGTCTGCTCACTTACTTGGAAAACTTGTTTGGATGTAGGATAAAGTATCTACGGCGGTACCAGGACAGGTACAGTGGAAAGGACGAGTTGATGAGATATTCTGAACACTGCCACTATTTTTTTTGACCTGGACTTTCGGAGCATATGGACGGCTATTAT